ACACACACACACACACAGAGTGTTCCTGTTGTGCAACTGTAGCAGACACTGGCTGCAGTACTCCTGAACCACAAAACTCTTTTGCCATCCTTTCCGGGTTATAATTTCTATCTGCACTCTTATTTAGTTCACGTCATATCCATATATAAATATTTTTCTTTTTTCTTTCATTCTTTCTCCTGACTACTCAAATATATTTGGAGTTTCCTTCAGGTAAACATCTCTCTCTCTCTCTCTCTCATCCAACACATTTCATGATTGTATTCTGAAACCATAAACAAATGTCTACAGTCGGGTTTTGTACTGTCTTTCCTTTTATTATTTCAATAAAGGGTTGTAATGTTATATACATCGAAAGTGTCTGTTGTGTGTGTGTTTCCCTCTTAATCAGACTGTTTATATCAGTTTTTTTTCTGTTCATGTGGACAATCTGAAGGATTGTCTACAAGTTGAACCAGTTTAGTATTATGACAAGCACAGAGATGAGAGAGTGCTTTGCATTATGCCCAACAGTGTGTAGTTGGTTAGACAAAAACTGTTAATATGCAGCATGACGTGTGTGCCACTTTATACAAAAGTTTGATTTTGACAATTGCTATGTGTAGTTTTTGGTTGCAGTGCAGTGCTTCATTTTGCAGGCTATATAGGAGGTATTTTGCAGTTTGGGCTGTGTGGTTTTGTGATTTATGTTTAATTTCTTTGTATAAAGGTGCCATCTCCTGGCAGATGAAAGTAACACTAGCCACAAAATGTGCAACAGTAGCATTAACAGTAACATTATTGTTCAGAGACATTTTGGAATAAATAAATTAAATGAATAAATAAATAAAATAGAAAACCGAAAACAGAGATATGTAGCTAACAGCCACAGAGTATTATTTATGTAATGACTGTGTTAACACCGTGTTAAATGGTTGTCATGAATACAGATCCAAGGGCCTCAGCAGATAAATACTTATATGCAATTCAGTACAGTTTATTTTATATAGCGCCAAGTCAGTTCACAGGAAGAAACCTCCAGCAGAACCAGGATCAAGGATATGATCCTTGATCATGTGGGGGGG